TAAGTTGTTAAGAAGAATGAAGTATTCCTTAAAGAAGCAGAAGCAAGACTTTAATGGGACTGGGGGGGAAGGGATCTGAGGTCAGAGAAAGGAGACTTGACCCCTGTCATGATGTTGGAAAGGGGAAGAATATCCAACAACAGAGAAAGGGAAGGAAAAGGATAGCTGTACAATTCAAGTTAAAAAACAAACAAATCTGAGGCACTTCCTGTAGGGGAGGAAGCTGGACATTCTAAAGGGGAACAAACTTTTTGTGCTAAAAAAAAGGAAGAAGAGGGCAGCTAGGTGGCACAGTAAATAGAGCACCAGCCCTGGAGTCAGGAGGACCTGAGTTCAAATCCAGACTCAGACACACAATACTTCCTAGCTGTGTGACTTTGGGCAAGTCACTTAACCCCAATTGCTTCACTGAAATAAGTAAATAAACAAATGAATGAATGAATGAATAACTGTTTTTTAAAAAAAGGAAGAATAGCAATTGAGATAAAATGCAAGAAAAGAAGCCAACAGTAACACCTCAAATATGTGGCATACAAGTGCCCAGAGCTGAAGCAACAAAGAAAAGGTTTGATGTGAACTGGATCTCACTAGTATTGCTGAGACTTGGTGAAATGAAACCCATAAATGAACCATGGCTTTGGATGGGCATATCTTATTCATAACAAACAAGACAGATGAGTGTTTATAGGGGTTGGAGAGAAGGGTAGTATTGTATATTAAGAAGGCATATTCATGTGAGAAAATACAGAAGCCAAAGGGAGAAAGCATGATGGAGAGTATTTAAAGTAAGATCTTTTTTTTTTAGGCAATTGGGGTTAAGTGACCCACACAGCTAGTAAATGTCAAGTGTTTGGTCTGAGACCAGATTTGAACTCAGGTCCATCCTGACTTCAGGGCCAGTGCTCTATCCACTGCACCACCTAGCTGCCCCTTAAAGTAAGATCAATTGAGTGAGAAACAGAAGCGATTTTTTTTCCCCACTACAATACATTAAGAAAGCACCCCATTGACCTTGATGAATTCAACTCACCTGACCAAAATGGGCTACATCTTCAGGTTTTATAAGAATTGTCAGTGATATTTGAAAGAATGTAGAAAATGGGAGAGGTGCCCCAAGATTGGAGAAGGACAAATGTCACAATTTTCAAGAGGGGAAGAAAATAGAGCCTGTAAACTATAGGCCAGTGAGCCTAACTTTAATTTTTGGGAAAATTATAGAATGGACCATTAAAGAGATGGTTGGCAAACACTTAGAAAAGGAAGTAGTAATTGCAATGAGCCATTATGGTTTCATCAAAAACAGGCCGTGCCAAACTAACCTCAGGTTTTTTTTTTTTATAGGCAAGTAGATGAAAAGAATGCTATGGTTATAGTTTACCTAGATTTTACTGAAGTTTTGATCAGGTATATCATACTACTCCTGTGGAAAAGATGGGAAGATAAAGATTGGTCAATAAAACAGATTCAAAACTGATTGGATGTTTAGATTCTAAGAGTAGCTGTTAATGGTTCAATGGCATTGTGGCAGGAGGTCTCCAGTGGAAGACCCCAGTGATCTGTGCTGTTCAACATTTTTATCAGTGATCCAAACTGAGGCATAGATGATACACTCACCAAATGTGCCCATGGCACAAAGCTGGGAGAGATAACTAACTCAGTGGATGGCAGAGTCAGGACCCAAAAGTAGCTTAACGGTTTTTGTATAAACAAAACCAATGCAGTTAAAGTTAGAAGGAAAACAGTTAACCAGAAAAAAAAAAGATATTCGCAGAAAGTTTCATTGATAAAGGTCTCATATCCAAGATTTATAAGGAACTGATTCAAATTTATAATAAAAAGCTGTAACAAGAGCTATTCTTCCAATAGATAAATGGCCAAAGGATATAAAAAAGGAGTTTTTAAAGGCAGAAATTGAAACTATCTGCCAGCAAAAATTGCTATAAGTAACAATTAGAAAAATTAAAATTAAAACAGCCCTGAAGTTCTCCCTCACACCCTGCAGACTGAGAAAGATGACCAAAAAGGCAAAATGACAATTGTCCAATGGGCTTTGGGAAAACAGACACACTGATGTCTATGAAGAAGCTAGGTGGCCCAGTAGATAGAGCCCTGGACCCTTCAGACAATCACTAGCTGTGTGACCCTGTGCAAGTCACTTGACCGCTTTTAGCCTCATTTTCCTCACTTGTACAACGGGCATAATAATAGCATCAACCTCTCAGAACTGTTGTGAGGAAAGATAATGTTTACTTATAAAGCATTTTGCAAATCTTAAAGTGTCATATACATGCTGGTTATTATTATTATTATTATTATTAATTATCAATGTATCATTGGTATAGCTGTGAATGGTCTACCAGGGGTGGGGAACCTGCAGCCTCAAGGCCACATGTGGCCTTCTAGGTCCTTGGGTGCAGCCTTTTGACTGAGTCCAAGTTTATGGAACAAATCCTTTTGTTAAGGGGATTTATTTCACCTTGAATTACAAAAGGGATGATTTTAGAGAGACCTGAGAAGACTTGTATGAACTGATTCAGAGTGAAGTGAGCTGAGCCAGGAGGGTAATTTATATAATAACAATATTAACTTTGAAAGACTTGAGAAGTCTAACCAATGCAATGGTGTTCAGTTTTGAGAGTTGCAGTTTAAGAAGGATATTGAAAAGCTGTAGTGTCTGGAGGATTGCAAAAAAGGATAGTGAAAGGCCTTGAGTCTACATTTCATGGGCATCAGTTAAAGGACCTGGGTATGTTGACTTCGGAGAAGAGAAGACATAGAGGGGAAAGGGGAGCCACGACAGGCGTCTTCAAGTATTCGAAGGACGATCAGGTGGAAGAAGGACTAAACTTGCTCCATTTGGCTCAAGCACAAAACCAGGAAAGAGTGGAAGTTACAAAGAGGTAAATTTAAATCTGAGGTCAAGGTAAACTTCCTAACCATCAGAGCTCTCCAAAAGTGGATGGGTTGGGCCTTGAGAGGTGGCAAGTTCTTCCTCCCAAGACTGTCTTCAAGCAGAGGCTGGGTGACCAGTTGTCAGGTGTATTATAGTTGGGATTCCTTTCATGCCTGCATTGGACTGGGTGGTTGCTAAATTCTGTGATTGTGAAGAATGGGCTTCCACAGAAGATAACAGCAAATAATAATAACTAACACTTACACATAATGCTTTGAGGTCTGCAAAGCACATTTACAAACTGTTCTCATTGCGACACTCCTCACAACAATCCTGTGGGGTAACTACTAAAGGTATTATTATCCCCATGTGACGGATGAGAAAATTAAAGCACGGAGAGGTTAATTGGCTTGCCCATCATCACATAACTAATAAGTGTCAGAGGAAGGAGATACACCCAGATTTCACCAAAGCAAATAGAGATGCTGCTCACAGTAGCACATTCCCAGTCACTGGAAACTCTGAAACAGAAGCATCACTCTCAGCCTCTACTTCTCTCCAAACAAGGGATGACAGAGAAGGGATTCCTGCCTTAGGACAGAGGTTAGACTAGACCTCCAACTCTAAGTTACTGTGGCAGTTAGTGGGGACCAGAGTCTTTTTTCCTAAAGCCAGGATCCATGATGGAGGTCTTATTTTAGCAGAGAAATCTCACTTCATCATAGCATAATCATAGGGCAGGATGTAGGCAGTAAAGTTTTGGCATGGACCTTGTTGAGTAGGCAGTGGCTCTCTGCCCTCCTAGGAAGATGGAGTGAACCACATAAAAAAATCATAAAATTCAGAACTGGAAGGAACCTCAGAGATCATCTAGAATCTAGATCAACTTCCTCATTTTATCTTCCTTTTTTCACTTTGACATTATTTTACTTTTTAAAAAAATATTAAACAAAAATTTACTGATAATGTTTTCATATAACTTCCCCCCCCAAAAAAAAAACACCCAAACAAATCCCCTACAAAGTACATCCACCCCAAACAATTTATGTATAAATCGTTAACAAAAGGGAATGTGTCTTTAGGTTGTGATAGCATATTAACAGACCATTGTATTGACCAGAGGTTGGTTCCTTCTTTGCCTTTTGTTGTAAGCCCAGCTCTTAACAGTGTCTGGCACAAAATAAGCACTTAATAAATACTAATTAACTGATGGACTCAATTTGCATTTTGCATGTTCTTTTGATTCTACCTTGACCTCCTATATTTCTCTGAATTCTTAATATCCACAGCAATATTCTGTTACATTCACATGCCACAGTTTGTTTGGCTACTCCCCAATTGTTGGGCACACTTTCCCCCTCATCTCCCAGCTTTTTGCAATCATAGATAAAGCTGTTTGTTCAATATGGTCCCTTTCTTCCCCCCAGAGGCAACATGGCATAATCGATAAAGCATTAACCTTGGAATCATGAAGAACTGGATTCAAATCCTACCGCTTATGGGATTCCTGGCTGTGTGACCTTGAGTACTAAACCTCTTTGAACCTGTTTCCTCATCTGTAAAACAGGGATAACCTGTAGTCTCTTGCTCACAGCATTATTTTGAGACTCAAATGAAACAATGCTTGTGAAACGCTTCATACGAGGTAAAGTGCTATATAAATGTAAATTGTTCCAATGATTATTATTGCTGCCAAATAACCTCCTTGGATATAGTCGCAGTCATAAATTCTCTTGCTCAAAGAACTTCTAGATGAGACCCAGAAACGGATGTAATTTGCCCATAATTACATAAGTTATAAATAGCAAGCTAAGTAGGAAAGCAGGGACCCCCATGACTCAAGAGAATAGGGACAAGGCTCAGTTGCTCCCAAGATCTGCCTTAATTTCCCTGTTCTATATGTGGGGATAGACCTGGAGCTTGGGAATAGTTGGTGGTCCCCTCTCAGGGCACTAAGACCTCATTCCCTCCACTCTTGAAAGGTCACCAAGGGCTAAGTATGGTGCCAATGATCTGTGGTGTCACCCCTCAGTGTAACTGAGAGGATGGAATGCTGGTCTGGGCACTATGCTCCGTGCCTCTCCCACAATCCCTACATGCACATTACCTCCCGTAGCTGGCTCCGGATGTCAGAGGCGCAGAGCTGGAGATAGTGCATATACTTGGCCTCTGTGCTGACCAGCTCCGCGGCTGCAAGTCTCTGATTCTGTTTCATTTTTTCAAGGATCCTGATTGCCCCATCCCCTTGACTTTCATCCCCTGAGCTCTCCCCAGGAGAGGGAGGCTCACCTTCCTGGTAACTGGCCATGGCAGGAGAACCTAAGAAATGAAAAAAGCACATTCTTCAGTTAATCAAGCCACAAACACTTACCAAGTGTCTACTATGCACTGAGGATACCCAGACAAAAACTAAATGATCCCAGCATGGAAGAAGATTACATTCTATTGGGTGAAACAACATGTACCTACATAAGAAGATACAAATTACAAACAAAATGAATTCAAGGCAATTTTTTTTCTGGGCACAGAGGGACGACCCACACATGTAGGTGACTCTTGAAGGAGTCTCATGCAATATAAAAAGTAGAAGTAAGGAGAGCATATTCCAAGGCATGAAGACAGCTGGTATAAAGGCAGGAAGATGGGAGGTAGAATGTTATAAAGAATATGCCAAAGGCCAGTTTGGGCCAGACCTAAGAGTGCAGAAGTTCAGTTGTTTTTCAGTCATTTCTGACTTCGTGGCCCTATTTGGGGCTTTCCTGGCAAAGATACTGGAGTGGTTTGCCATTTCCTTCTTCAGCTCATTTTACAGATAAGAAATTGAGACAGACTTAAGTGACTTGCCCAAGGTCACACAGCTAGTGTTTGAGGACAAATATGAACTAGGGTCTTTGTGACTCCAGGTCCAGAGTTCTATCCACTGCACCACCAAACTGCCTGCAGAACGAGAATAAGGTATATTTTTTCCCAGTAAGGCTAGAAGAGTAGTTTGGAGCCAAATTGTGAAGGACTTATGCCAAACAGAAGACTATGTATTTGATAGTACAGGTAATAGGAAACCACCGAAGTTTATCGATCAGGGCAGTGACACATGGTCAGAACTGTGCTTTAGGACTATCACTTTGGAGGTTATAGAGGATGGAAAGATATAGGGTAGCAGCTTGAGGGCACCAAAGGTACTTAAGGTTTAGGGAAACCTGGGCATGTTTATAGGAAGCAGGGAACGAACCTATCTATATAGATGCTGAAGATTGGAAAGAAAGGAAACACATGTTAGAGAAATCTGCAAAAGTGAAGGCATAAAGGGATGGGATCAAAGGTAGAGGCAGAGCAATGGGCATTGGCAAGAACAGTCACCTCTTCATCAAGGACTGAAGTAAAGGAGGGAGAGAATGGTTAGGGGGAATGATGTCAAGGGGTTTTGAGACATGAAGAAGGGGAAAAGAAGGAGTGCTGGGTTAGTGGCCTCCATATTTTCTCAATAAATAATAAGGGTTGGGGTTCTACCTCTTTTTCAACTAATGTAATCATACCAGATATCCTCAAACTGAATCAATGAACAGTATAAACTAGATATTCAGGAGTTTTCATAATATCCCAGCATAATGTATGAATAAGTGAATGAATTTAAGAGATTTTGGATGAAGATAAGGGACAGCATATAGGAAACATCTTCTGATTGGTTGAAAGATTGAGACACACTGCTAGGCCAAATACGTTAGTCCAGTTGTGGAGATCATATTTTTAAGGGGATGATTAATGAGCTGGAGCCCAACTCCTGAGAGGGAATCACTAGATTCTCATTCTCTTCTCAACCTATACAATCTGGTGTGACTCAATTAGCACTGGTTAATATTAATCAGATTGTTAGATTTGGCAATTAAGAAATCATTGGTGATCTCATGACTCAGCTGAAACTACTCTTTCCGACGTTATCAGGGATGTATTGTACAACAATCTTTTCTAGATTCTCGGCATTTGGGGTGGCTAGGTGGTACAGTGGATAGAGCACCGGCCCTGGATTCAGGAGGACCTGACTTCAAATCCGGCCTCAGACACATAACACTTTACTAGCTGTGTGACCCTGGGCAAGTCACTTAACCCCAATTGCCTCACAAAAAAAAAAAGAAAGAAAGAAAGAAAGATAGATTCTCAGCATTTGTACAGCACTGGACCGCCCTTTGCTCTGAAATGCTCCATCCTCTAAGTTTTCCGGCACTGCTCTCTCTTGGTTCTCCTCCTGTCTGTATGACAACTCCTCCATTCCCTTTGCTGAATCATCATTTGTGCTCCTCCCTTAATTGTGAGTTTACCCAAGGGCTCAGTCCAATGTTCTCTTTTCCCTCTACACTCTCACTTGGTGATTTCATCCACTCCCATGGGTTTAATTATCTTAACACAAACGATTACTCAATCTACATATCCAGCCCTAGTCACTCTCTTAAGCTACAGCCCCACATCTCGAACTGCTTATTGTGCATGACATAACCTGCAGACATCTGAAACCCACATGCCCAAAAGAGAATTCATTATCTTTCCCAAAAAACCTATCTCTTTTTGAACTTCTCCATTACTGATTCAGAATCCACCACCCTTCCAAATTAACGTTGCACCTTCCCCATCTTCAACTCCACTCTCACTCACTCCATACAGCCAATTGGTGGCTAAATCTTGTCATTTCTAACTCAGCAACCACACTAGCATAGGTCCCTTTTCTCCACTCAGTTACTAAGTACAGGCCTTCATCACCTCTCGAATTGACTGTTACAAAAGCCTCTTAATTGTTCTCTCTGTCTCAAGTTTCTTCTCACTCTAATCC